CAGCCCCTTGCCCCCCCCGCGCACAGCCCCTCGCACGCCCCGCGCGCAGCCCCTCGCACGCCCAGCTCGCAGCCCCTCGCACGTCCCCCTTGCAACCCCTCGCACACCCAGCTCGCAGCCCATTACATGCCCATCGCATGCCCCACTTGCGGCCCATAGTACGCCCATCGCACGTCCCACTTGCAGCCCCTCGTATGCCCCTTGCACGCCCCGCTCCCAGCCCATCGCACGCCCCACTCCCAGCCCATCGCCAGCAAGGCTGCTGGGGGGACCCGGCTCTGTGGAATCACCCCCTTCCAGAGGCTGCTGCACCATCAGCCAGCCCGAGGGAGCAGCCTGGCCCTGCTGCTCCAAGCCCACTGCAATTTGGGGGCCGAGTCCGGGGGGGGGGTCTGCCCGGCGGCCTGCCCGTGGCCCGTTCTCTTGCTGTCATTCTGGTCTATCCCTGACGACTCGGGGGACATTCCTCCGTAACGTGACTTGTCCTTCCTGCCTGGCCACTGACCACTCAGCTACTACGGGAGATGCCTCCCGACGGCCTGCGCCACTGAGATGCCGCAGGAATCCTGCCACAAAGCAGCCCCCGCGTGGCCCTCGCTCACCCCACAGACCTGCCCAGAGGGGCTCTCTCGGGAGCAGGTCTGGGAGCAATGGGTCACCAGGACTCCACCCGTGTGAACGGGGAGAGAAGCGAATGGGTGGGATTCAGCCCTCCCCCCCGTGTCAAGCGCCTGCTACACACGGCGGAGCCACGCCACCAGCAAGAGGGCAGGGGAGAGCCAGGCTGCAGGAACTCGGCGCACGGCAAAGGAAATTGCCACCCAGTTCGCCCCGCCCCTCCCCCCAGCTCTGGGTTGGGCTTGTCTACACTGCAAAGGAAAACCCACAGTACCGAGACGCTGCGCCGGAGCCAGCTGACAGGCCCATGGCGCTCGGGCTGCAGGGCTTAATAGAGCCGGGCAGACACTGATGGACCTGTCCTCCATGAATCTAGCTAGCTCTTTTTTGAGCCCTGTTAAAGTCCTGGTCTTCACCACATCCTCTGGCAAGGAGTTCCACAGGTTGACTGGGTCCACGCTCTCTGTCCTGTGCAGAGCTGGTCTAGCACCGGCAGCGGGGAAATGATCAAGAGAGAAGGGAAGGGAATGATCAAGGTCCCAGGGCTACAATATCGGTATCTAGTTTGTCAAGTGCCTTCCCGGGCCCAGGGCTTCTGAACGTCTTTTGGCCCCAGGGAGACCCTGCTTCTCATGCACGATTATTCCTGCCTTCAGCATTCCCCAGGCTGAGCACAGCGTCCCACTCGACAGCCAGGGGGCAGGACTCACTAACCCCACAAGAGATGATGCTACTGGAAAATGACGTGGGACAGCGCGGGTCTCCTGGGAAGGGCTTTCCCCTCTGTGATTTCAAGGTTTCCTGGTTGCTAGCAGGGGCTAGAGGAATGAGCTCCAGGCTCGGAGAAGACATGCACCCCTGAGTGCTAATCCTTGCTCCGCCACTGCCTGGCTCAGTGACCTGGGGCAAGTCGCTTAATTTCTCTGTGCCTCATTTCCCCCTTCATAGAAAGTGGATCATAGGAACATATTTTTGCAGGGCTGTGGTGAGGGTTAGTTAGTCAAGGTCTGTGCGTGGTTCTGGACACTAGGTACAACTATCTGGCTTGCTTTCACGTCAGACGTGAGCTCCTGGAGCTGGGAAACAGTCTCAGAGGATGTTCCCGCTATTCCCCACGTTAGATGCATCATGTCATTTGCATTCAGCAACCGGCCTCGACAGACAGACTGGCTCAGTGTGCTAAAGAATTAAAAAACAAAGTGCATTTGCGCTCCTGAAAGTGAGGACTTACCTACCCACAGGGTTACATCAGTGTGACTTCAGGAGTGATTTTAAAGCAGGTTAAACTGGGGCACAAGGCTGTCTGGACACTCAGTCTGCGAGCAGGCTTATTAAGGTTTAGCTTGAGACAATTAGGAGCAGATAGAAGCCTGTCCAAAAGAAAGCCCCCTGCAACCGAAATGAGCGAAGCTCCACACAAGGGCGTGGCATTGAACTGAGCTGACTCGAAATCGGGTGTAGATAAAGGAAAAAATAGTTCAAGAGGCTCCTGGCAGGGCCAGAACCCACAGCTGCTGGCTCGTACAGGAAGGGATTCAGCGCTGAACTAACCGACCCACAGATAGCCCAACAAAGGTCACTTTTGCCACTTTGCGGACAAACTTTTGCTCCGGCTAATCTGTGGAATGATCAGCCAAGCTGCCAATGCCAGGCGGTTCTCAAAAGCCAGGCTTAGCTAACCGAGAAGTAGCCAGCCGTCAGCGGTAAGGGAACAGGAAACATGAGCATCTTAACACACCACTGCTTCCTGTTTCAGAAACAGCACAGCTGCTGCGACAAAACGCCCCGAGCCAGCAGGTTCCCACACCCGCGGGAGCCCGGCGCGCTGCTCTTGGCCCAGCAGCATACACCTGTCCCAGGGTCCGGCGGAACTCGGTGCGGTTGTCACCTCCTGCACTGGGCCGCGCGACTGGCCAGATCTGAGCCTCTTGCGCAACAGGCTGTCTTATCTGTCTGCATCTTCGCAGGCCCCACGGCTGGGAGAGCAGGCGAGGTCTGTGCATGTCAGTGCTGGGGGAGCTGGCACACAGGCCAAACCAACGGAAACGGTTTCACAACGCAGACAGAAAGGGATTGTGCAGCAGGGCCAGAATCGCTGCCTCCTTACTGCTGCCAGGTGCCTGCTCAGAGACAGTTCACAGCGACTGGGCCGTGACTCAGTTCTCATCCACAAAATGCTCAGCTACCTCTCCTTGCTGCTAACTGCCCCTGCAGGACCTGTGCCCCTCCGAGTCTAACGCCCCCGCCAGGCCGGGCACGGCTGTGATCTCCAACGCACAGGGTTTCTCTCTGCCTGCTCTGGGTCTGTCTACACTAGCCCCCTAGTTCCAACTAGGGAGGCTAATGGAGGCATTCAGAGTTGCAAATCAAGCCCGGGATTTAAATATCCTGCGTTTGATTTGCATCTTCCCGGCTGGTTGCCATTTTTTTTTTGAAATGTACAAGTTCAGACTAACTGCCTGTGTCTACACGCGGCAGAGAAACAGGCGTTCGAATTAAAGCCCTAAATCGAACTACCTGCTATTCCTCCTGCAATGAGGTTTAACAGGCAGTTCGAGTTAGGGCTTTTAGTTGAACGCCCGTTTCCCTGCCGCGTGTAGACACGGGCAGTTAGTTTCAGCTTGTAAGTTTCAAAAAAGGGGCGCCCGGCCGGGAAGATGCAAATCAAGCGCGCGAGATTTAAATCCCGGGCTTGATTTGCAACCTCGGATGCCTACATTAGCCTCCCTAGTTCGAATTAGAGGACTAGTGTAATTAGGGGACATACACCCTGTGATTTGCCAAAGGTCGCCACCAAAGTCCGTCAGAGCAGGGACCTGCCCCGGTGTTTCTCACATCCGAGAGGAACGCCCCGAGAGCCGGGCACCTTCCACCCCGGCGGGGGCTTAGCTTAGTGCCGAAGAAACAGTCTGGCAATTACAAGCAAGTCACAAGTGGAGAGGGGAGAGTGAGCCCTGGCCAGTGCACATCAGGAGGGAGATCGTCAGTGGCAAAGGGCAACAAGGGGCCCAGCTCCCACGGACAGACACTCCTCTGAGTGACTGAGCTGTTCCAGGCTGCCGTGGCCCAAGCAGCTTTGAGGCTAGTCAGCCAGGACTGTGACCATCGCAGAAAACCAATGGGAGTGGCATGGACTGGAATCGCACGCCTCAGCCGCCCGGTACCTCCTGGCGAGAGCCACTCCCTGGTCTGAGAACAGTGGACGTGGCCACGCGGCGACCAAAGGTCCCTCTAGCCCCGTGTCCCGTCTGCCCACAGCAGGCAATGCCGGGTGCTCCGGGGGAGTGAACCGTGCAGGGAGCTCCCAAGCAAGCAAGCAAACCAAGGCCCACTGCAACGCAAGAACGGAGCAGCCTGTCCTTCGGAACGGTGCCTCTTCCCAAGCTGGCTCTGGCGAGACAGGCTGCCGTGCCTGTGATTCTACACCCGCCCTGGCAACAGGCACTTGCTGGGGCAGACACACCTGTCTCGTTCCGAGAGACGGGGAAGTAAGGAAGAGCTCGCCCGCCGGGAGCGCCACTAGCGGGGGAGAATGGAAATGGCCCTTCCGAGAACGTCTGCAGCTAGACCCGTGGCTTTTCCTGGGTATTCCCGTGCGGCCAATGCAAATCCGACACTCTCTGACCAACTCTGGTTCCTGCACCAGAATTCCTCTGCCATGGAAGCAGCTAACCCTGCGTGTTGTAACTCGGGGCCAGGACAAAGAAACACTACGCAGCCCGCTGGCCTGGAGCTGCTGGACAAGTCCAGTCCCCTGCCCTCATAGGGCACCGCCTAGAGAAAATCCTGGGGTCTCTTTCGGGTTTGGAGCCATGCAGATCCTGGAAATAAAAATGTGGGTCTAATCTCACTCACAGCAGCCCGGCAAATATCTGTAGCGGCGCTGGCTTTCTAAGGGGGTTTGTCTGATGCAGGGAGCTGCTAAAGACCCAGTCGACCAGGGAACAGCCAATCTAGACAAGCCAGAGGGGCCGATAAGGCCCAGGCAGCGTTTAATCATTTGGGTTTTAGGAGTTTAAAAATCAAACAGGCTCCTTTCAGCCAAAAGCCACGTGCTACGGGCCCGATCTGCCAATGCCCAGCACCCCGCGTCCTCACAGGCACCTCTGCAGCATGAGTGCGGAGTGGGCGTAAAGCTCTCTCCAGTCAGAACAGTCGCATTTTCCACAGGTGCAAACGGCAACACAAGGCGCACGGCACAAGAAGACACAGATCCGCGTCCCACGAGCGGAGAGCGAACCTTCCGCCAGCCGGAGAGCGGCCGACTGGACAGCTGCATGGCCTCAGGGACAGCTGTCTGCACCCAGGAGCGAACGAGAGGTGCAAATCAGAGCAGGGCAGCCAGGCAGCTGCAGGGACCCCGACGTGCACCCCCCGTTCACTTGCAGAGGCAGAGGCGAGGGCAAACGAGCAGCAAACGCAGGCCCCGTCCCGCCCATTGGAAAATGAAACGCTTTGTGTTTTATTACCCTACAGTCGGGTAGCACAAAGCACCCTGCCTGGACGACGATCCGTGGAGAAGGGAGCTCGGGGCTAATGATCGCCGCTACCTCGCTCAGCGCCGCTCATCTTCGTACGCAGGCTGTGCCGATCCAGGCAGCGTACGACGCAGTAAAACCCACCGAGCCTGAGTCCTTCAGCTCAGCCCCTTCCAGTCGGCTCTGCCAATGTGGGGTCTTATGCTGGGCTGAGCTTCAACAACCTTCATCGCAGCAGATTCCCCCAGCCAGCTCCTACAAAGGGATCTCTACACATACCGGGTCCTGGAAGCGCCATCGTTCACCTGAAACGATCAACACGCAGGGGGAGGCAGCAGCTCTCACTGGAAGGAGCATTCAACAGCCAAGACGGCAAAGCAGAGTCCCAGGCCCACTCACAAATGCACTGGCACATGAGGGGGAAAGACAGAGACACGGACCCTGTGCCGGGTCCCACATACGAAGCGTTTGCTGTCTCAGGAGACCGACCGGGCCAGGAAGGAGAAAATCCAAATAAGCAAACTACTTAAGCACAAGAAAGAAACCCTTTGATAGCCGCCGCGAGAAATCAGCTACACACGGCTCCCAGCCTCCGACCCGTCCAGTAACACCGCGGCACGAGGACTCGCCGGGCATGTCTGTCTCCCGGAGAAACCTCTCTCCCCAAGGGAGCAGCTGTGCCAGGGCACAGGGAAGTGACTGTGGTTATCGTCTCTTTGTTTAGAAATACGATCGGCTCTCCAGATTTAGAGCGATGGGAGAAGGAAAAGAAGCTCGAGAGATCATGCAGCAGAGGCCAGATTTCCGCAAGAGTTCACTGACGATAGCTTGCAATGGTAGCTTCTGCTCCCGGGGTAGTAGAAACGCTGGCTCAGACTGTGGGTCTAACCACTGAGAAATCTGAGCCTGTGCCGTTTGCCAGCTCTAAAGCTCTCGGGAGTTTCAGAACCAAAAGATCAGCCCCTTTTTCTGGGAGTCATTTGCGCTCTCACATTGAAATCACACCCGTCACTAAAGCCCCAAAGCAGCAGCAGGCCGGGAGCAGGGTTTCGACCCAGTTTTGTGATTGAGACTCACAACCTCAGCATGAATCATGAGACGAATCTCCCACCGCGCTAACCCCAGGCCCGCGGGGCTCAGGCTCCGGCCCGACGCAGCCATTCCCTGGAGCAGGCTGCCGAGCGGACCGGGCGGGGAGGTCAGAGCAGGAAGTGAAACGTGGCTTCTCCAAGCAGTTCTCTGCCGGGGAGCCTACCGTGATCTTGCTGGCGCGGTTCAGGGCCTCCACCCAGTCCTGCAGGTCCTTTTGATCGCTGGCTTGCAGGAAGTAGCGCTGAGATCGAGCGTTGATAACTAGCGCCACAGGGAACAGAGAGGGGCCAGTCAGCGCTCTGCAGGGCTCCACTAAGTCAATGCCAGCACCTCTCCACTTCCACCCCCGCCGCACCGGCGCCTGCCGACCCCCGGCAAGGACCCACCCAGCGCTGCCACCTCTGGGTGGAGCGCGGCAGCTGTGGCCACAAGGGCGTTAGGCTGGGTGTGAAGAACTGAAACCCCCAGGGAATTTACGGGGAGAGACTCGTGGGCGGCAGGTGAACCGAGGGCTGGGGGAAGCTCTGTGGGAGCCCAGCGCCCTCCCCAATGTGGGTGCAAGCCACCCCCCCAAACCGGACTCCTGGCAAGCCTAGAAGTGCGCAACCCCAGCTTTCCCCAGGCCCAGCCAGAGCGTGGGGGAGCAGCAGCGGGCAGTGCATGGCCCCAGCCCGGGCTGGGGCACAGGGTGCGGGGGCAAAAGGGCAGCGCACGGCCCCGGCCTCCCCCAGGCCCAGCGTCCGTGGGGCTGAACCCCAGACTGCCCAGGGGAGCTGCACTGAAGGGGGGTGGAGGCTGGGGCCAGGCTGGCAGGTGGGGAGGGCCTGGCCTGTTATACCCGCCACCCCCGGAGAGACCGGGAGGACCCGACTCAGAAGTTACCCCAGGCACTGGCGGTATCGGGGGAGCTTTGGTGGCTGCCAGCGGTTACAGCGTCTAGCGGCATCCGCAATGCTCACAGGCCGAGCAAACCCCGACCAGGGGCCACAGGGGAGTCTGGAAAGCCCCCTTGGGCTACGCGGCCCCTCCCCACCCCCGACCTCGCAGCCAGCGGGGCCCTCTCGCCTGCAGCCGCAGAGACGTCCGCCCAGGAGTGCTGCACCGAAACGCTTGGGACACGCCCGGCTGCACGAGGGTTTGTCGAAACCCGCGGGAGCCGGCTGCCCTTGCAGTCCCCTGCACGTGCCCTCGGGGCCGGGGTCGCGGGGGCTTAACCCGCAGCACCCCCTTTCCCCCTTATTCTAGCCCCGCAGCCAGGGCGCTCCTGGAACCCAGCTCAGTCCCGCCATGGGCTGGGGCTGATCCACTCCCCTGCATCCACGTACTAAACTTGTGGGGCCCCACCGCTGGGAAGGGGCGGGGCTTCGGTGGAAGGGGCGGGGCCAGAGCAGCCAGCTGTCAGTGCCACCTGGAGCATGGTGCCCCAGCCCTCCCCACCCCCCGCCAGCCCTCTGAGCCACGCAGAGCCACACGGAGCTCCAGCAGTGATTTCAAGGGCGCAGCCGCTGCCGTGGCTGCAGCAACAACGGTGGCAGCCGCGAGCCTGGGCCCCTTTGAGTCACCCCCCCCCCCATTCTTGTGCCTTCCACTCACCGAAGCAGAAGGGGACTTTCGGTTTCTGTTTCGGGGTGGCGACGCTGACCTGGGGAGAGAGACGGCAGGTTAGCGGCAGGGAGATGGGGCCGTTCCATGGACGCATCGCGCTCACTCAGCTCTGCGCTAGGGCCCTTTGCGAATGGGGAGGCGCTCAAGCGAGCTCGACCCAAAGCAGAATGAACGTGACGAATGAGCAGGGCTCATCAGCACCGCCTCTAGGCCTCCGCGGCGTCCACTAGCCAACCCGGGGGCTTTCCTCGTCCTGGGCCCCAGCGGGTTCTGAGTCCTGGCTGGCCCGGTTGAGTCGGGGCTGCTCCTGCATTGGGCTAGGGTTAGGGTCAGGGTCAGGGTCCCCCTGGCTGGACTCGATGCCTCCGGGGTCTCTGCCCGCCCGGGGATCCCCTGATAAGAATGTTCTGGTGAATGTGGTTCCGAGCGTGCGTGCAAGTCCACGCGTGGCCACGGCACCAGGCGCAGATCACCGAGCGCTGCCATCTCAGCACGGGGGCCACGTGCTGTACAGTGGCGGAATTGCTCTTCCTGGCGCACCAAACCTCCGCCGCTGCCAGGCCGTGGTGCCGCCGTTTCACGACAGCCGGCCCCGTGGTGGCGGCATTTGCTCTGGCTGGGAAGAGGCCAGCGCCGAGCGTGGAAAGCGGCAGCCCTCTGTGTGACAAAGCCACCCCGCCACGTGACCAGGCAGAGCGCAGGGCGGCCGCCAGACGTGGACACGCCCTGTGCACGCCCGGCGAGAGGCAGGCTGCAGGCGCGCCAGCGCTGCGGCTCACCGGGAGCTGCCCACAGTGGAGCCGGCGCTCACGAGCAGAGCTGACCGCACCCAGTCACCCCAAAGGGAGCAGCCTCCCATCTGGTGCTGCCCCTCCCCTCCAGCGCCAGCCCCACCAGGGATGCCGACGCTCTCAGGGGGCCGGGGAGGATCCGGTTCTGTTGGACCAAGCACGCTCTGCGGGGAACCGAAACGCAGCAGGGGCTGCTCGCCACGGAGCAGGAAGAGGAACAGGGCTGGGACTCCAGGCACGGCCCTGATGTTTATTTTGACAAGCTTCCTTGGTCTGAACCAGCCTCTCATGCTTTAAATATGCCTTCCCGGGCAAGCCTCCATTTCTCTGGCATGTCGTAATTGGCAGTTGCAGCCGCTTGGTGTAACCCAACCCTGCAGTTTACGACGGAAGCCAGCGCTGTAGCAATTTTCATTTCGTTTTGAATGCCCCTAATTTATGAGCGGAGTTCCTTCTGCAACCGGGCAGGCTGCATCCCTCAGCCCGGCGCCAGCTGAGCTCAGTTAATAAGCCATGAGTCAGCAGGGGGAGAGCGCCGGGGGGCGGCCTTCCAACTGCGAGTGACCCCCACGGACGTACAGCCCGCCCCACGCCACCACGAGCCAGACGGAGGAACGTCCAGGCAGACAGGGACACCCATGTGATCCCTGGCCACAGAGCCACGATATGAGCCACCTGGCTCCCTGCCCAAGGTGTGCTATGCAAGTGACATTTCCCACGGTCCTTCCGGAGGTCTAGCCCTGCCGCACGTGAGCCCTGAGCATGCACTAACACAGACGGAGGAAAAGATTCACGTGCATAAACCGGCACGCAGAGATTAAGTGACTCACCCAAGGCCACATAAAGAATCTGGGCTAGGGCAGAGGCAGGATTTGAACCCAGAACTCCCACCGCCCAGCTAGTGCCTTAACCACAACGCCAGCCTCCCTCTGGAAAGAGCTTTCCAAGGTCCCCAGAACCAGAGCTGGCAAACACGGGCCACCCTGCGGTCAGAACCAGCCCACCCCCACCTCATCTGCTATGTTAAGGTGGGGGTGGGGTTACTGGCCAAGGTAACAGGCTTCCCCTCTGCTCTTTTCTACAAGGCCCCCAATACACAGGCCCCCCCCAGAGGTTCAGAGAGGCCCAGGCCAGAAATAAAGGCAGACGACACTGGTGCAGCGTCAGCCACTCGCAGCGGGTTGTTTATAGGGATGGGACCAGTGCAGCTGTGTACACGGGGTTAACAGCCCCCCCCCGCGCTACTGCCTCGGTATCCGGGAGCTGCCTGCCCCCCACGGGGAGCCGCTGACGTTCCCTTATTCACTGACGCTGAAACACATCGATGTGCACGAGAACGCAGGTGCCACAAGACACTGAGCCAGGCGGGCACTTTGAGCAATGAAATGTATTTCAAGTGCTGCTCTCCCGCCAGCTTTCAGCTGCAAACAGCTCCCTGCTGGGCATACGGTCCACTCTGGACTCTGCTCTCCCTGACAGCCTCCGGGTCCTCCCACTCTGAAATAGCCTCCTTCCTCCCCTGCGATCCTCCTGGCCATTTTACTAAGGCAATGCAGACCTCTGCACTCAGAGAGCAGACCAGGGCAGCCAGCAGGAAGCAGAGACTCTGGCAGGGAAATCCTCAATTTCAAATTAAAAAAAAAAAATCAACATTTCCCATGCACCACATTTCTGAAAGAATCGCTCGTTCCAGGTCAAACTACTCCTTTCGCTCCCACTTCCAACTTTTAAAACCAGTAACTTTTTAATTTCTAAAAACCTCCCAATGAATTCACTTTTGAAAAGCTGTTTCCCAATGAAACATCCTGAACCGAGCCAGCCCTACGTGGCATGTGGGGTATCTGGGCCCTGCCGCAGTGCTCGGTCGGGGGGTTCCCTACGCAGATTTCCTCCGAGCAGACAGGCTTTTCTGCACACTCACATTTTCCCGAAAGGACAGGGTGTGTTGCCAACCCATTTTGCAGAACAAACCCCGCCCAGTTCTAGGCAGCAGCAGCACCGAGCGAGTGACTCTGGACTCCTCCACGTTGCTGCACTGGGCAGGCCGTTCGCTTAGCTCCAGGCCTGGGCCACCTCCCACAGCACAAGAGTTGTGAGGCTCCACCCTCCCATTACCTTGGATATATAGGACAGCGGCAAAGATCGAACTGCTCCGGACCCGAGCGCCAGATTCTGCAAAACAGTAAAGAACATTAAGAGTCAAACACTCAAGAGCCACACACAAGCGGCGTGCTCTGAACAGCCAGTGCGGGGCCCAGTGGCCCCTCAGAGACTAACAGGTCTATTTGGGCATCAGCTTTTGCGGGTGCATGTGATGAGCGGGCATTGACCCTGGCGCGAGACCCATCACGATGCCTCGGCAGGAGAGGCGCGCTGCCCGGCCCGGCTTAGTGCCCAGGGAAAGTTGTTTTGTTCTTCAGCATTAGCCAAGAGGCCAGAGACCACGGTGCTGGGCACAGATTACAAATGGCACTGCAAGGTCTATTTGGGCATCAGCTTTTGCGGGTGCATGTGATGAGCGGGCATTGACCCTGGCGCGAGACCCATCACGATGCCTCGGCAGGAGAGGCGCGCTGCCCGGCCCGGCTTAGTGCCCAGGGAAAGTTGTTTTGTTCTTCAGCATTAGCCAAGAGGCCAGAGACCACGGTGCTGGGCACAGATTACAAATGGCACTGCACCTGAGTCGTGCTCAGGCACAAGGAGGAGATTCCCGCCGCTCACCTTTTATTCTTTTTGTAATCGCTGTAGTAAATACCGCGACCGCTCCCAGAGCTGCCAGCCGCAGCAGCCAGAAACCGCCAGCCCCCGGCTCTGGTGAGCATATTCTGCTGACCCCATTGCCAGGATGACCAATGCTGTATCGGCTTGGTTATCGCCTGGACACGGAGCTGGCGGAATGGAGACCAAGCGTCCTGGCGCAGGGCTGTCTCTCCCGGGATTCACGGCCCAAAGCAGCAGTGGCCTGGCTCGGGAGCACCGGGCACACGGGCCGCCTGGCTGCAGTCTCTTCTTGCAATGCGCGGAGCAATATCCAGGGCAGGCAGCTGCAGTCTGGGGCCCCTTCGACGTGACGTGTGCGCTCGAGCGGGTCCCTCTTCGGCTCAGCTCGGAGCAGCCGCGTCTCGCCGAAGCCAGGGGGCTGCGAGGCCTGGGCCCCGCTGGACTGGGGCCTGACCGGGGTTCAGCTCATGCAAAACACTCTGCCCTTTACACTTCATTTTCCATATTTGGCAAAAGGAGAAAGAGGAAGCCAGTGGCAGCCCCGCCCGGTCCACCCAGCGAGCAGCGGGCAGCCGGGGCGAGTGACTCATGAGAGCAGCCCTGCACCCTACCCACAGCTATCAGCTGCCCTCCGAGGAAGATCAGGGAGAGGGACCAATCACTGCACCTTCTGGCTCAGAGCCAGCCGTGGGACGGGGCTGCCCCTCCCCCCCGACCGCCGGCCCCGGTTTTCCACCCCCTGGCTGAGGCCGGGAGCCTTGCTAGTTTCCGTTGTCTCGGATCCAGTCTGAGGGTGAGGGGAATTCAGGGGCACTTGTGACACATGCTCGCACGGACTGATCGCAGTTCCCATTCCAGCGCGCCCGGCACAGAGCAACCCAGCTCCCCGGGACCGGCGGGGCAGCGCCCAGCCGCACGCAGCCTAATGCCGCTTCGGTGAAGTGACCCGGCACCAGGCTCCCGCCAGGGGCGTGATGCAAACCCTCTGAAGCCGGCCAGAGTCTCCGCAGAGTTCACGGGCTTTGGATCAGGCCTGGAGCGGAAAACCATCCATCAGCCCCAGCGTAGCCCACGGTCGGGCGAGGGTACGGCCGAGAGGCGGAACCGAACCTGGGACCTCGGGGCAGTTAAGCCAGCTGGCTCTCAGAGCAGACTCCTTGTCGCAGTGCCTCGCCCTGGGGCAGCGGCCCACTCCCAGGAGGAGTGTGGGATACACGAGCACCAGATTTACCCCCCCAGGTTTCTTACTGAGCGCAGCGCGACGTATTCACACCAAAGCACAGTGGAGCGGGCTGCCCCTGCCCCCCACTTCCTTCCTGTCTCCGTCCCAGAACAGCCTCTCTTCCGCCTGACTTAGAGCATCAAGGAAAAGTCCAGGTGTGAGACAGCGGGAAGGGCACCAAAGTTCCTCAGGGCCAAAGAAGGACTCCGTGTAGCTCGAGGCCCGTCTCTCTCACCCAAGAGAAGCCGTTCCAACACGGTACCACCGCACCCACCGCCCAGGAGACTCTTCCGAGGCCATTTTAACATGGGAACGGGGGAGAGGCCATTCCCGACCGCTGAGCACAGGGCTCCGGGCATCGGGAAACCCACTTTTCCCAGCACACAACCTGCTATTTCTGCTCCTCTTAAGTAGCGCTTGACGCTGGTTCAATAGACTGGGGGAGAGGAAAAGGTGAAGCCAACTGAAAAAAAGCGATACCAGTTCCTGGGATTTCAGCAGCCTCGCTGTCTAAGTGAATCCCGTGTGCATGTGAGCACAGCTGGCCCTGCCAGCGTGTCCGAGCGAACCGGGGGAGAGGTCTGTGACTAAGAGCCAGCTCGTACCACACGCAGCCGCTTCTCAAGAGGCCCTAAGCGGGAGGGGCAGACACAGCATAAAGCAGGAAGCAGGAGCCCTGAGAGCTGTGAAGCGTGACCGGCAGGGAGATCTGCCATACTCTGCAACAGCCCTGGCAGCCCAGGCTAGCGAGCGACCTTCATCTCAGACAGCTGTGACCAAGGCAGGCTCCCGGGAGAGGGGAGTTTGGTTCCCGGCGCTCGTGTCGCTAGGACGTAGCAGCACTGGGATTGGCTGCAGGGCGAGCGCGTGGCTCCCACCGTGCTGCATGCAATCGGTGCACACCCCACTGCACGCGCCCTGGCCATGCACGCGCGTCCCTTCAGCAATACGGGCAGGGACCCGTACCGGCCGGAACCACGCCATCCGGTGCGGGCAACGGCAACAGAAATCTCTCGTGGGTGGCCCCTGGAATCCTGCCGGCCGGCGTGCGCTTGGGGCCTCACCTGGGGGTTGTCCATGTACCACATGAGAGAATTGGCCTGGGTGTCCAGGATGAAATATCTGCGCAGAAACTTGCCGCAGGTCTCATTTTCTTCAATGTCCAGAAACCCACAGATCCGACCGGGCTTCTTGTAGCATCACCCTAGAAAACACCAAGGCCTGCAGATGAAGCCAGGGCGCTCCCCAAGCCGCCCCCCCCCGGGCCGCCAGGGCAGAGAAAGGTTCCACAAGGGCCCCCCCGCACCTCGCTGCCCCTGCCCCAGGCTAGAGCTGGGGGACAGCTCCCTCACCAGGTCTGGGCAGGCAGGCGGAAGCACCCAGGCACGAGGGAGACGTCGCTCTGGGTCACATGTAACCCAGGAGCATTTCTCTTCTCTGAGCCGGTTACCCAAACAGCTCCACACGGCTCCCGGGGAGCTGGCTGCTGCCTTTGTTACTGCAGCGCGAGGCGGCAAGCGGGAGCCAGTACGCACACGGAGGCGTCCTCGGCCAGCCACTGCTGTCCGGCTCTGGAGCCCTCTGTATCAGAGGCAGCAGCGCAGGGCAGCAGCTGGCTCCATGGGAGCTGGTTTATAAGCCGGCTCCTGGCATGCGCGGTCTCCCGAGGAGCTGGCTGCCGCCTCGCGTGTAATCGCTGACGTTTTCAGTGGCTACACGTGGAATCGAGTACTTGCATTTTAACATCCCTGGTAAGAACGCTGCTGAACAGGTGGCAGGGTCAGCTGCCGGACTGAGCCCTTGGACGGTATTCAAACGAGTATCCCAACTTCCCGCTGCCTGTGCTAGGATCTGCCATGTCCTGGCACAGGGCAAAGCCAAACCAACGCCCCCTCCCCCCGCAGGTTTCTGCTACCGGCAAGTTATCTAATGAAAGACCAAATCGGACAGGTCATCACAAAGTGGGGAATTCAAGGTCCTGGGGACACACGCAGGCCCCCCAACCGGAGTTCCCTGGCTCTGGACACACTGGGGAGCCGGGTGAACCAGCCACACAAAGGAGAGTGACCGAAATAGCTCCCCTGCGGAACTGCCTGAGCCCAGAGCACACGGAGCTTCCGGGCACTGCAGCTGGGCTCTGTCGCTGCCAGCTCCTCAGCAACTCGCTGCCTAAGCGCGCTCGTCACAGGATCGCAGCAGCAGGCCGCAGGGGAACAACAGCGCCAGGACTGAGCAGGACAAGAGCAGCAAGAGAACAGCCCGGTTCTACTCCCCAGGTGTCCAGGAGACGGCGAACTCGCAGCCAGCAGCCCCTGGCCAAACCAAACCAGACAAGAACCGCAGACGGTGACCAGCCAGGAGAGCAAGGCACAAGTCTCACAGCCCAAGAACGGCAGAGCGCAAGAAAGAGAAGGCACGCTCCTAGGTATGCTCATCGGCACGCTCCTAGGCACGCTGCAAGGCATACCCGCCGGCACGCTCCTAGGCACGCTGCAAGGCATACCCACCAGCACGCTCATCAGCACGCTCCCCGGCACGCTCCCAGGCAAACCCACCAGTACGCTCGTCGGCACGCTTCTAGGCACGTTCCTAGGCATACCCGCCGGCACACTACTAGGCACACTCCTGGGCACGCTCGCCGGCATGCTCTTAGGCATACCCGTCGGCACGCTCGTCGGCACATTCCTAGGCATACCCACCGGCACGCTCGCCGGCACACTCCTAGGCACGCTCGCCAGCATGCTCCCCGACATGCTCCCCAGCATGCTCCTGGCACACTCGCCGGCATGGAAAACAAAGTGCAACTCCCGCAGGACATGCGCAGGGCTGGGATGCAGAGTGAGCAGCGACGATCAGGCCCTCTCTGGATAAAAAAGTGTCACTAGATCTACTTGAGCCACCAACACCTTCCAGCAGGACCCTTGTTACTCAGGGCCCCCCTCAACCTGCCACCTCGCCTCCGAATGCCCCTGTCCCGCAGGGGCGCTCCCCTGCAGCCAAGCAGCGCTTGAGAACAGCGGCGGCCTGAGCAGCAACAAACCGTCCCTCTGAAGAAGTCGAGAGCTGTTCAGCGGGAAGGACGAGAACGCGGGAAGGGTCCGCCCCTGTTCCAGCAGGACCCTTGTTACTCAGGGCCCCCCTCAACCTGCCACCTCGCCTCCGAATGCCCCTGTCCCGCAGGGGCGCTCCCCTGCAGCCAAGCAGCGCTTGAGAACAGCGGCGGCCTGAGCAGCAACAAACCGTCCCTCTGAAGAAGTCGAGAGCTGTTCAGCGGGAAGGACGAGAACGCGGGAAGGGTCCGCCCCTGTGGAGAATGAACCTCCCTGCCTGCCAGCCCCGGGCTCAGGCACCTGAGAGACAGTCAGGGAGGGAGAAGAACAAGGGACCAGGTGTGACGGGTGGTGGCTGGGACCCTGGCGGCTGGTGAATGTAGGGCTGGGGCAGGCAAACCCCTAGCCCCGCCCCTTCTGCCCAAGGCCCCGCCTCCCTCAGGAGCCAAGACCCACCCCCCCATCCCTAATCCACCCCGCGAATGCCATGTGAAGCATCCTGGGGGCGGAGCGTGGGCGGAGCCATGCCTGGCGGTTGGGGAAGGCATTGCCTTGCCCCGCCCCTTATACCCGCCGCCCCTGCAGCTGGTCTGTGCTAGCACCCCTTGCTAGAGTTGCCTTACAAGCCGTCATTTACAATCAGTGCAAAGTGGGTGCAAAACCTCACCCCAGTGGTGCGGCAGCGCTTCACACGAAGGACGTAACGGTGCAGCTGTTTCAACGGGTAACCCATCAGCACGAGCTCATCGGTCACCCAGTCACACAGGGCAGCAAGCTGGCTCCTCGGGGGCAGGCAGGATCCAGTGCTCATGGGGAGCCCGTTTAAAAGAGAATCTGCAGTGCGGTACCAGCAGCCTGGAGCGACTGTCCGCCAGCCCCACTCCCAGGGAGCCAGCGTGTAACCACGTCACTGCTAGGATTCTTAGCGGCTACACCGTTACTACAGTCACCGGTTTGTAACAGCCCTGCTTCCCGCTCATGACCCACTGGTGAATCAGGCTCTACAGGGGAGCTCACTACAGATGTGCTCTATGGGACAGACTCTCCCCGGCCGTGCACACTGTCCTCATCTACCTGCGCGCACAAGACACGAACCCCCGACCTACTTTGCACGGATCGCCATGCCAACGCCAGGTGCAGAGCAGTGGCGAGTCAGGCGCTGTCGAGGAGCCGAGAAGGCAGCGAACCTTAGAACTGCCTTGGGCAAGAAGCCTCCTTCTTAATGATGGTGACTGTTGGGTGGCGGAGTGGGAGGGGAGCTGTACACGCAGAAGGGCTGGCTACAAACATCCAATGGGTATAGCTGGGCTGTGAGCAGACAGGCGAGGCCAAGGCAGCAAGCGAGTGCCACTAAAATCGGCAGCACCAAGGGCAGCTAAGGAGGAAACTTGCCATTGCCTGGACATTTGGGATGGGATCTGATGGGGGCAGCCCTGTAGGACCGGACTGTCCAGGAGTCGGACAAAGGGGATAGAGAATAAAAGTGTCTGCTGCCCTCTGCTCCTGTTCCCAGCATCAGCAGTTTCGAGCCCTGGGGATGCTCGGAAGCAGGGCGGGAGGAGACGAGAGGGTTGACTGGCCCGGAAGGAGCACCCAGCCGAGACGGGGGCTGCTCTGACCAAGCCTAGCGCACGCCTGTTAACGCAGGGGATCGCCAGCAGTCTTACTCAGAGCCGCCCACAGGCTGGGGGGCGGGGAGGGGGGATTCCTCAGATGAGCCATTGGGCCCAGACAGAACACAGGAGACCTGGAGCAGATCTGGAATCTATGTTAATTATTAATCCATTAAGCCACTGCCTCGGAGACAAGACAATGCACAGCACAGCACTGGGCCCCGGCCAAAGGAGTCAGCCAGCGCTGGCTTTCCCAGGCTCTGCAGACACGGGGGAGCTGTGACAGGGTGACGAAGGGGCGTCGTTAAAGCAGCACCGATCCCTGAGCGGACACGGCCTTTCGTATCGCAGCCCCCGCCTTGGGTTAGCTTAACCCAACTCCTGCCCGACCCCCGCGGCACAGAAACAGGAGTGCCCAGGCGGGGGGCTTGCGCGCACTTACAGGCGGCCGGCGGTTCCAGCCGTGCGACTGTTCGGGGAGGCCAGTCACTGTGCGTCAGACGGGGAGGAAGAGAAGAGAGAGGTGATCGGGGAGGTCGCCGACCCCCCTTGCTGACTCCACAAGCCACCCCGCTGAAATAAACGCCCCCCTACTGATGCCGATGGGGGCGGGCCAGGCCCAAAGGGAAAGGCATTCCCAGGCTGCAGAGCGTGTGCAGTAGCCGTCCGCTACTCCTCGGGGCACCAGGCCGTTCCCTGACAAGTGACATTCCCATAGATCACGGGGCCTTCGGAACGGAGCCGCTGCCGCCGGCGAGCAGCAGCAAACGGCTACTTGGAAGTGACCGTTATCAAGAAGCAAATTATTTTATTAACCTCAGTCGTTAGCTGACGTGTGGAGAGACCTACTCTGCTAGCAGAGCTCCAGGGGCAGCCAGAATCGCGGGGCAGGGCGAACCTGACCGGTGCCAAGCCAGAGAACTGCCGAACCATGGCAGGTCAGCGTTGTCTGGCAGCATCACCAACACGCCCGCTGCTTGCTGGGCTCTTAAAGACATTTGGGGTAAATTCGAGCTAAACAACAGCCCAGAGCACTGAGAGCCAGGCCTGGTGGCTGGAAACAAACTTTATGGGACCGAGGGAAACAGCCACACCCATGATAAGTGGACCCCCAGCTCACTAAAATCACACCGGCCCACGATGTCGCTGGCCCCAGAGAGGTTCCACCTGTACTAACAGGCGATCGCAGATTCTCCCAATTCAAGCACCGGGACATTCGGGGCCGCAGAACCCTTTCCCTGCAGCCGAGTGTGAACGGCTGGACAAAAATGCTGCAGCCGCTTATGGGTTTTGTTCTGCCTCGATTAACACAAGTGCGATCAAGATGCTCCTTCTGTGCAGGACAAGGTGGCAGCGACCACCCTCAGGTTGCCCTGCTAGATGTGCACATCAGCGGGCAGAGGAGATACTGATCGCGCTGAGCGTGAAGTTCCAGCATGTGCTCGTTTGGCGCGTGCTACCGGGGGGCAAGCTGCGTGCAGGCCCTTCGCCCTGGGGAGGATGCTGCCGGACAGAGGGTGCAGCCCCCCAACCCGCCGCCTTAGAACCAGCTGCAGTACCATGAGCGGGATTCTCCTGTCTCCCAGCTCCGGCAATCCAGCTGGAGTCAGGACGAGTTTTCCCAAAAGAGTTCAATCTTGTTGTAAAACCCAACCCTCACGCAGTATCTGACCCCTTCAAACAACGTACAAATCGGCCAACCGGCTGCAAGGGGAGATGCATTCTGGGAAGGCTACACGCCTGCATATTTCAACTCTGGCGTCGTCCCCTGCTGGAGGGGGAACAGAAGCTGAACGTACCGTTGATCTGTTCTTCCCTAGCATTTCCTACCGCAGGCCTATTTGCATAGAACCACGGTTACCCATCGTTAGCTCACAGCCCTGACACTGGCTCACAACACACTAATAAAGGAAGAATGACAGGATAAGGCTAGTAGAGCCTATAATGACTTGAAGGCCTCTTACTTCACAGCCAGAACTCAGTCACCAATTACTTCCATTCGGAGATTGTTAGAACAAACAGCTGATTTAGTCACTAGTGCAAGGACACAGGCTGGAATAGATTACACACGTTTCTATTGTCTGTATCCTACAACAGTGGACGACTGTACCTTCGCAGCCGCAGAGAACTGACTGCAAAAAGGCAAAGAAACCGAGTTGTGCTGATGCTTTACAACCAGTGAGCATCATTTAGAACCGCTAAGGAGTCCCTGAAGGCCTAGCAATCAGAAGAGCACGTCCCGTTAGACTTTGAGTTACATACATGATGATTTACGAGCGGGGGAACGACGCTGAACACACGGAGCTACAACCCCTGGGTGAAGTCTGCATCTGATTTCTGGAAGCCTGTCTGAAATCTAGCGCCGCTCTAAAGCATTTCCCAAGCCCAGCCGTGGAATTAGGCCCTTAGGATTTCATGACTGGTTCCAATTTATGTCAACACGCAGCTAAACTCAACACAGAATGAAACTCCTGCTTTCTGGGATTCTTTCCTTTTATCACCATTTCAAGATAGACAAGCAAAAATTCATAAACGCATCCCCTTTCGAGCTCCCCACCCCCATAACTCTCAGTCCTCGCCTGGTTCAGCTAACGTGATGATACCAGCAAGGAAGTGAATGGAAAAAAGCAGAAGACAATCAAGCTCTGGGATTTCTCCCAGCATACCAGAAGGGCCCGGCACTGGCCCCTGAATAAAACAGCCCCACCCGGAGTTAGAGAAAGGAAAGGGACTCTGAAGAGCCTTCCACCCCCGTTCTAGCATCACTGTCAACTCCACGAACCGAGGGGCTACAAGGGGCAAAGTTCCCGAGAACTGAACCCCGCAATGTCCGTTCTCAAGGAGAGGGACCCTGCTCCCTTGATGTGTCCTGGGATGAACGTTACGGCCCCTTCGCTTTCTCCCCCGCCGCCGCAACAGGGAACAGCCGCACTCCCGATGCCCATCTTAGTGCAAAAAGAGAAGAAAAACAAATCTTCAAACGCATGTTCCCACAGTGCCAGCGCACGGCAGCCATGAGAGACAGAATGTGTTTATGGAGGACAGAGCGACAAGGCGGGCGGGGCAAGACCTTTTATTGCAGCAACTTTCGTTGGCGAGAGAGCAGCTTTGGAACTGACGCAGCTTTTGAACCCAGGCTGGTCCAATAAAAGATGTTGCCTCCCACACTTTGCTGCTCTAATGTGCTGGGCCCAGCACAGCTACAACCACCCAGTTTACATGTGGATAGACAATTAATCCAGATTAACTAAGGGCAGGAATTTGAAGTGAATTAGTTAAACCACATTAAATCGCCGTGGGAATACGGGAATTCCTCATTTAACACGTGCCCGCTTAACACGTTTTCACGATAGCATGTTTTTTTTTTAGGGATCGTTTTTTGAATTACACGACCGTCCCTGGAATAACACGATTTCCCCAGCTAGCCCGTTGCTGGTGGCTGCACAGGGCTTCCCCCACCTCCCTGCAAAGCAGCAGAGGGTTCGCCGCTCACGGCACCATTCCTCGGTGACCCCCCCTCGCCGGACGCAGTGCAGGTCCCGGCAGACCCATCACAGGGGCATACTCCCAATCCAATCCCCCTCCCCTCTCCTCCCCTTCCCTTCCCCAGAGCCAAACCCCTCCCCTCCCTGCTGTAACCCAGCCCCCTCTCTCCCCCAACCTCATGTCCTGGTCCCAACAGACACCACCGCTTGAAACTCAACCCCCACCTTTTCCATTATTTTCAATGGGAAAATTGACCCGGCGTAACACGTTCTCACTTAACACGATCATTTTCGGAAACACGCCTATAGTGTTAAATGAGGAATTACTGTACCATGATTCAGAACTGAAGTGCCCTTCACTTCCAAAGTGAATCACACCAAATTAAAGCAACTTTCAGTCCAAACAGTACCATCCACACGGGGATTCAATTCAGTGTAACTATTCCACTTCAGAATAGTTAATTTGGATTAACTGGCTGGATGTCCCAGCATAGACAAGCCCTTAGATGGTCCAGTATGACACAGCCAGGTCAATCCAGGGCGCAATGCCAAAGATAACACCACGGAGCGCTGTGTTTTGTCAACGGAAGAGCAATTGGTTACAATAAAAGGGTATGCTGCTGGCACTGGACACTGCGAGAGCCTCAGTACCTGGCATCCCTGAAAACAATGGGAACCAAGATACATTTCAGCTGGATCCACTCCAAGCAAAC